TCTCTGGCGAAGAGTGAGCATTTCTGCCGAAACACAAAGATGGTTCGTCTTTTTGCTTAGACCGAGTAAATTTGCTGAGGCAGCGACTATAACTCATTTTAGCAGTTAGTAGAGTAACTCTGGGTCCTAACAGGTCATGTCCTTTACGGCTGCGAATCTGCTGCTGATCTTATCTCGAAACGCCGCGTAAGTTTCTGGATCTTCCAACTTGCTGGTGTCGAATCGGGAGTTCGCCCATTTCCGTGCTGTTCTCAGGGACGTTGCCAATTGGAGGCTGAGTTTTGCGACCACCATAAAGTGGTCCGAATGTATTTCAGCTCCGCATCGTGGCCGCGTATCATGAAGGGCGCTTCGCCACTTTCTGCTAATCATTATGTGGTCCAACTGGTTCTTGAAGCGGGAACCTGGCGTTGTCCACGTCAGGTGATGGATTTGACGGTGGATAAACAGCATAACACCGACGAGGAGACCTTGCATGGAACAAAGGTGTAGTCACCGTCGACCGTTGTCATTCAGCGTCCCGAAGCCATGTTGGTCCATCATATGATGCCAGCTGGAATCGTCCCCGCCGACCTGTGCGTTCTTGTCGCCAGTGATGAGACTGCTAAAGAAAACGAAGAACTGCGTGTAAACACGCGTGGAACTCGTCCTTCCTTTGATCGCCCACGACAATAACACGCATCGTCACGTGCTTTGTTGCAAGACGGCAAACAAGCATCCGATCGGTCATGTACTCGATGGAGACCAAGGTTTTGACTGCTCATAGCGACAGCAAGGCTGTTACATCTAACTTGCGTCTAGAATTCTGGTTCCCAGAGCAGTGAAGCTGCGATTCGTTTTCTAGGCGACCTTCTAAGTGATCGGGGATGTGAGTTTATGAGATCGCAAGGAGGTTCAGGCAGTACCCCTTGCCTGTACGGATAAAGTCATCCAGCTAGCCGTCTCCACTAAACTTTCACACGTTTCAGCAGAAAATACCGGATCTTCTCCTTGCTGAAGTTTAATTGGCTGGAGGTCGAATTTCTTGGTGCAAAACGTTCGGATCTGTGGACGCACGCCAATCATCTCTCAGGCGTCGCGTAACCTGGTCACGTAGAGGAGTGAAACCATAAGCCGATCGCTCGCGGGGGCGAACAAGCAAACAATGACGTACAGATAATGGACATTTGCTACAAGATTTGCATCGGCTGCTGGAACATGAAGACACTGAGGTGATGGGAGGTTGGACGACCTCACTCGAACTTCCGACCAGTACAAGCTGGACGTTGAATTGTTGATGGCGGTGAGCTGTTGCGTAACGAATTCGCTGCTACGATGCCTTTGCCATGAACTGTTTACACTCACAGGACGGTTTAAACCATTCTACCAATAAACCTCACCCGCAGAAGCTTAACTTCTGCAATAAGCTAAGTATCGCCTAGTGGAAAATGCGGCCGTTGAACGGTAATGGAAGACTCGCATCACAGTGCGATACAATTTGGACATCTTGAGGCTCACTACTCACCTACCAGGCCAACGACATCAGCGGCTTCAAGATGAATCGCAGTTCTACTGGTGTGGTAACCACGACTCTCGCCGCAAGACTGGAGTTGCAGTTCTGCTGCCCACCCCCTCACCCAGGAACGGCGAACTTTTTGTTATTGGAACTGACCATTACCTGGTGGTCGCGAAACTGCGCCTTCATTTAGCAACTGCTGAAAATGGGGAAACACGTCATTCACACAGACAAACTGAAGGAGGTGACCACCTGCGCGGCGTTCCAGATCCACACCGAAAGCAGATTCGCTGTCATAGACTCTACAACAGGCCAAGTCCCAGAGCTGCTACACAGTCGCCTATGAAAGCATCCTTCCTACGGCTGCCAAGACAATTGGTATCGGAAAAAAAAGACAAAGCAGCTTTCGATCACGATGCCAACTTTAAATTTTCATCAGCAAATAAACGTGGCGAAGCAGGTGTCCATATGTTCAGACCCCTCCCGCCGTCTTCGATTCAGACAACCGTCACTGTGGCAGACCTGCGTGACTACGGCAATGTCAAAGAAGGTCGTTAGCTTGATGGAAAGATTGCACACAGTAATATCTTGTGCAGTCAGGAAGAAAAGGCGACCTGTTCGACTAGTTCAATATTTTAAATGCGGTCCGTCGAGACACGAGGATCTCTCACCGTTCCAGTTTAACGTAATGGCTATCTTCGAAATGTAGTGTCGTTTCGAGACAAGAGCAAAATTTTACCATAAACTCAATAAAAAGCTTGACCTGGAGTATGTAGACGGCGCCACCTTGCTGCGCTTCACCGGAAGTGGCTTACAAAACCTTTGTGCGCAAAAGGGCAGCTGACGTGGCGCTACTAGTCAACAACGCAACGAAAAAACTGACGATGGACACCGTGAAAATCAAGCGAAATGGTGCAGCATCATAGAAGCAAATTTATTTGCGACAAGAGCTCTGCACTTTGCCGCAACTGCTACTATTTAAATTAATCCGTAAATTCCCTTTCACATCGGACATCCTTCACCTTGGGTTCATGAAAACATCATGATCCCTGACCCAAGATGACAATTGCAATACAAACGAAGCGCGCACTGAGAAACAGCAGAATTAGCCTGCATCGGGAGACCTTGTACTCTGAACAAACACTCCTAGATCTCGTTAGATGAAGGTATACATCTGCACACATGGCACACTAAGATTACACCATGCTGAATGTTATCATCAGCAGTGACGTTCAGGTTCGTTGCTTCTTTAGCTGATTTACTTTTATTGCTTTTGCTTAAATATGTATATTCAGTATCTGCACCTGTATACATGAATCTATGCCGCTATAGACTGAAATTAATTTGCATTTCATTTTATGCAGCATGGACTGAAAGAAATTTGCTTTTCCGTCTAGACTGGTAACATGAAGCATTCACCGTATTATCTTGGCCTCTGTTTACGTCAAACCCATGGCGTAAACTTAAATATACAAGGGACAATATTGAGACTTAGATCATAGAGCTAGGCTTGGCTAGGTCCAGCGAAAAAGCTGTATTAAAAACTTGGACTGATCTGCAAATCAGATTAGGTCCATACCATTCAGGACGGTAACATTTCAAGTTCCCTCTGCTTAAACTCGTCCTCTAATGTAATTTTTAGTATGGTCATGAGTTTATGTTATGCCAAATTGTTTGTAATCTAATAACTCTATGTGTTTCGTGTTTTCTTTTGCCAATTTTGGTCGATTTACAGAAAGTAATTTTTTATCATGGATCTCGTCTCAATATCTCCTGAAAAGCAGCTGTTTCTGTAACCGTTGTAGTGCAGTGCATTCGAATTTGAATGTGTCGCGTTCACCGAGTATGTTAAAACATTTATGTTATAGAAGGATGTCTCCCGTCGATAACGAAATTCAGATTTTTTTTTTGTTTGTTTTGTTTTTGTTCAAAGCCGTCTGTTTCATTCGTGTAGTCGATTTTCAAAGGATTTCTAGTCATTATCCTCTCCAGTTAACAAAACTGGATGAAACAGTGGCTATGGTTTGTGATATTTTTCATTTTAAAGGGATTCAAGGTATATCGCTTATCATGTTTATTAACCTCGTACGTTATCACATCAATCCAGGCGCAGAGGCACAATGGCCATAATTTGGGCCTTGAATACCGGAGACACCGGTTTGATTCGGTGCAACAACCTTCGGCCTAACCGCGAATTCTCTTCAGCAAAAAATATATATGTGCTTCGCTGCAACCAACCTAGAAACGGGTGGAAAGTCGATGACTTGGGAAAAGTGGCCGTGTTGCTGCTGCAATAGATCTTCAAGTGGCTAGTTCTGTCCCTTGCTCCAAAAGCTGATGTAATTAGATGCTTTAGGATTGATCTGGTCATACGTGCTTGAGAACGAGAATGCCATAATTATCGTGTAGTGGAGTGGGATGCAGTGGGTAGGCAGAGAATTTCATTGCAACAGTGACAAGACGGACAACGAGCAAACGATGAACTGTAGCAAAAACCACTCGCAACCGTTTCCTTTCGATGTACCGTTAAATGTCTTTCCGAATTCATTAACTCGTATAAAATTCAGACTCTGGACTGGAATTGCCTCTCACTTTCAAATCTGGTAGAAAATTAAGATCAATACGGACGAAGACAAAAGAAGAAATTCCACCAAAACTGTGGAGATCGTCTACTAAACTGCTCGACCTACATTTCCGGATACACGGGCGAAACATTTTCACCTTTAAGAATAATTTGCAATCGTGAAACATAAAACAGAATGTGAATCACTTAGCTAAAGGTATGATTTCATAAAAGAATTAAACCATCGCTGATGCCTTTGAAATGACAATAAATGCTCCACCATGACTCAGCCGGTGACCAGTAGGGTAATGTAGGGGAGAGTTGTATGTCAACAGTTTCCAATTTTCTTTTTTAACTGTTCCTTTTCGGTCAACTCTTTTTTACTGCTACGACGAATATACTTGTCACCTTACTGTATATTGATATATTTGTGAGGTACTATCTGTGAATTTGTATTTTTAGAAAAGTTAATGTAATGGCTAGTGTACCTGGGGAGACTGCCGAAGAAAAAATTTTAAGTGAAGAATACAAAATCTGGAAGAAGAATGCTCCATTTCTGTATGATTTGGTAAGGAATAAGAAATTAAAATTTTTGCTTTATTCGTTGTTTTAGGTTTTAACTCATGCTTTGGAGTGGCCAAGTTTGACAGTTCAGTGGCTGCCAGACATTACTAAGTAAGTGTTTCAAAGTTTGATACTTGCCTTAAATAAATATGTATTCTGATCATTGTTAATATTTGTAATCAAGCCTGCGTTTGCTGCCGTTATGTTTTTGTTTGTTGAGATTATCACATTGAGCCATTTGCATGAGCAGAACGTCACTGGCTAAAGCATGTAATAAGTATTAGCTCTGAAGACGTCATGATTAACGAACAAGCTGCTGGTTGAGTATGAATTATGCGAGAGAGATCGGTGCATAGCAAGTGTTAAAGCGTCGACAAATTTTATCCTGCTTGTATGTAGCCCTACTCGTCTGAAAACAGAGCGGCATTTCAGCAATATTCTATGAATCAATGGGTGTCGTTACGGGTAATTTATAAGCGATATAGCATTGCCTTCTCGCTCCAAGAATAACCATTTATGCATGTCACTAGTTAATAGTTTCTTATGTGTAGTGCATCTGCGTTTATGGAATCATTTGATTCATTACGATAATACTTATTTTATCAGTTAAATTTTCAAGAATAGCTGGCATTCTTTAAACATAATCAAAATAAGCTATTTGCGAAACATGAATCTGAAAATAGCAAATATATTATAAATGACATTCTCGGCAAATGGTGTTCAGTAAAATGTGCGTATTATCCTCCTCTGTTAAGGTGGCAGATTATTATTGGGCTCATATTTTGCTGAAGACCCCTGCGCTTTTAGTTGTTGAACCTCATTTATCATATATCTAGCTGGTAATACGGGCGTTTCTCATTGATCCATTCTCAGAACACGCACACTTTAAAAAATAAAGTCATCATTTTAATGGCATGAATCGAAACTAGAAAATCCTTAATACCTGTAGGAAAATAATAGGCATAATCAAGCTGGATTAGTGGCCTTATAGTGCTGCTATTTTCCTTGTAGCTGTCTGCCGCGTTGGGTTTGAAAATCTGCTGTTTCGCTGTTCCTTGACTATTGTCAAGCCAGATATTCAAAAATTTTGCTGTAATATTTATGCCACTTACACGATTAGTATCCTTATTTTCTTATGGATTTTAGGCCTGATGGAAAAGATTATTCGATTCATCGTTTGATTTTGGGAACGCATACCTCTGATGAGCAAAATCATTTATTAATTGCATCGGCTCAGTTGCCTAATAGCTGCATCGACGTGGACAGTGCCAACTGTGATGTTGAAAATGCAGGTATCGTGGGTTTTAATTGGCTTTTTTCATTTAAGTTTTCGGCGCAGGAGGGAGAGTCAATTCTGTTGTTGATAGGTAGTTTGATTTGCACATTAAAGGTACCAGGTTCGATTCCCATCGCGATGTAAAGCATCTCTGACTGTTTAGCAGTAAATTCACCTTTTTGTATTGCGGTGTTACGGTGTTATCTTGCCATCGTGCTGTCTGATGCGTGTTTACTGATGCAATTTGTCTTCATTGTTCATCTACTAATATTCTGCAAAATGTATAAAATATATTTAACATTGAATTGAAAGAATAAACCTCTCTGCTACCGGTATCTTTTTTATCGTAATAACTTTCTTGATCACTGTTCCGGACTTCGTCATGAGTACGTAAGAAGCACCATTTTAAATTTACGCCAAGGTGTTTAAAACTCCATTTTTCAATACAAATTACTTTGAACGTGACAAGATTCTCCTTTCATTTTTTCCGGACGCAGCAGTCATTATCGAAAATTTTTCGCCCTGAAATGACACAGTAATAGAAAGAAAAATGTTGTGTCACACCCAAAGCCATTTGCATTGAAAAAGCTTAAGTTTCAACCGGTACTTAGATTAATGTTTTACCTTGCCCTCTGTGTTTCTGTTGATCATTTAAGACATTTGATTTAAGGCACTGAAATATAGAATCATTGTTCAGTTTCACGGGTAAAGTCTTCCACTTCGCAGGTTTTATGCACCAAGAAATTTGACTTAATAAGTTGTTCGTACGCTCAAGTTTGTCAAATGAGGTATGATGAATGCGGAATGACGCCTACAATACCAGATTTAAAGTGTACTGCGCCGTTCCAATGCTCATAAAGTCTTAGATGTCGGTGCAATGGTCCATGAAATCTAATGTTGGAGGAGTTAAGATCAACTTATCATGTTTATGCGGTAGCATGTGAAGAGTACCAGCTCCTGAAACGTTGTTCGTTATATGTGCGAGATAGCTCTTTCTGACAAAAAGATGCGAAATACATTTGGCACTGCAGGTACTCAAATGCCATGGAGTAGCTGTCTCTCTAGGTAACTAGGATCAAGAGGGGACTGCAGTACGCCAAAATCTTGCTTTGAAGTAAACGTGCGTTTCCTGACAAATTCCTGTGTACAGTCATATTTTGATTCAGTAATCATCTATGATTTTGCGTTTTGCTCGTTGTAATGAATGTCAGGACAGTGGCATAATGGATTAAAACTATCTTTAACATTGCAGCACTTAACAACTTTTAACAGCATAATGATCCTTTTTCCTAAGGAGCGCCTTTTCATGAGTTAATGATGGGTTATAATGAGTGACTTTATTCATGAGGAGATGCAATATATTGCTTAAAAAAGTTTTTCCGTTATTCGTTAATAACATAGAAAGTTCTTAACGGTTTTAAACGATATTTGCTTATCTCACGATAGGATGCAACTTTCATCTACATCAGTGTTGGTTATCTCAGGTTAAGCACAGTTAAATCCACTGAGTATGCATAGAATAATGGGAGATCTGAATATGGTTAAACTTGATTTAGTGGAATAATAATATGTTATGACATCCTCAAAACCGTGGTGGCGTTTGGCAAGATTCAGGTCAAAATATTTTCCTGTAACTTTTTAACCTTTTAAGAATTCGGTGGTTTTGGAAGCGTGTCTGGCAAGATCGATGTTGTCATTAAAATCAACCATGACGGTGAAGTCAACAGGGCACGCTACATGCCTCAAAATCCATGCATAATAGCTACGAAGACTCCAAGTTCAGAGGTTTTCGTTTTTGATTACACGAAACATCCGTGCAAATCAGGTAAGCCGGTTCTTGTAAATATTCATTGACGAGCTGAACTATAAGTCCATGTAGTGATGATGCAAAGAAATTATCTACCATGCATTCGTAGAAAAGTGACAGAAGTTTATATGAAACATTTTTAGACATTGCGTATTCAGTTTTGAATCAACCTGTGCTTGTTTGTTCTCTTCACCTGGTTGCTTGTTATTTTTAATTGGATAAAATAACTAACTGCGACTCGAAAGGAGAAGGGGTCATGGAAGATGAGGAAGAGGAAGATAAAATAACTAATGTTGTCATTCTTCTTCTTTTTCTGTTTTGTTTTCTTTTTTTTTCTTATCGGACAATCATATCCGAGTGAGTCATCTGCATGAGCAATGTTAAAGTCGTATGAGAATAATAACGTAAACGACGCTGTTGTAATAGAAATTCGTGTAGTAAGAGTAATTTGGTTTCCTCACCCTTACCTTCACGATACGCCCTTCACTTGAATCATCCAGTGGAGTTTTATACGGCAAATTCTGGAGATCCTCTGTGTTTTTTTATGATTTACTGCATGGCAGAGAGCTGTTCTTTGTTTTGTTTCGTTAGGCATTGCAGTGGTGTTGAAATGTGTCGTCGATCTGTCATTCTAAGATCTCGTGAATAGCGTTGTAGCTGTGTGAGTCTGCTTCTACTCTCCTTGAAAGTCTTCCTCATTTTGTGCCACGTAATGGTTTCCTGCCCCAGATTTACATAGCGGATGACATTCTCAGTCCTCTCTTTGCCGGTGGACAACAGCTTCCTGCGTGAAATTATTAAATCAGTTTTTACTGCAGTGACAAGTATAAATTCGAATGTTAAGGAATACCTTGCCGAATCAAGAATGAAATTCATTTGCAAAACAAATGACCAGTTATCTGTTTTCAGCTGGCAACCGACCGACATATGTGCTAAACGACGCTTTCAACTAGTGAAAACTTCGTTTTGCCGATTTTAATCGATGCAATGACTACTAATTAAGTAAAATTAGATTTAAGTTTTCATTATAATGGCTGCTTGTATTGATGGCTTTGTAACGCTTTTTGGTGATCAGCTGGCTGTCGAAGAAGACTTGATCAGATTATGTAAAGTGATGAAGTTTCAATCGTTAACATGGTCAGTTTAGGCTAAATTTACAGCAACAGACTTGTCATGCGTTATGACACAAATAAGTGTGTTAGATGCCGTTCGCTGCTGTTGTAAAGGACATATTTCTGAACCTTCAGTGCTTCCTAAAGCCAGATTGTTGTAAAAAATTCATTTTTTTTCGACAAATTTCTATCATCATAATCTTTTTTGTTTGTAACTTTTGTACGAGCACACTGATTATTCAACGCAAGCGCTCATCAGCACCTGCTTCTTTGTTTTTGTTAAACTTGAACTCTTTCCACAGCGAAATAATTACCCGTTTGAAATCGATACTTCTGGCAATTAAAGTTACGTAAACAACAGACATGCACCAGCATATCACACTTCCCTAAAATACAGTCTTGTCCTTCATTCATTGCCAATCATTGATTGTAACCATTTTTTGTTCTGATGTTTTGTTCTTCATGGCTGCGTTTGTCTCATTACTGCATTCTTGCATGCTTTTATTGCATTATATGCGTAATTTCAGCCTCGGAGTTTATATATAGTTTACTGCTGCACAAGTATGTCCTTATATTTAGAACCTGGTGACTGTCGACCACAGTTGAGATTGAGAGGCCACCAGAAAGAAGGTTATGGTCTATCATGGAATCTGAACCTAAACGGCTATCTGCTCTCCGCCTCAGATGACCACACCATATGCTTATGGGATATAAATGGAAACCCTACAGAAAAGAATTACTTGGATGTGAAAAACATCTTCACTGGTCATTCAGCGGTTGTTGAGGACGTTGCATGGCATTTGATGCATGAAACATTGTTCGGCTCCGTAGCGGATGACAAAAAGCTAATGATGTAAATTAGTGTCTTAGTTTGCAATTTTGGATATTGTTTTCTTTTAGTTGGGATACTAGAAGTAATAATACTAGTCGTCCTGCCCATACTGTCGAAGCTCATGTCGCGGAAGTGAACTGTCTTTCCTTTAATCCTTACAGCGAATACATTTTGGCCACTGGATCTGCTGATAAGGTATGCATCAATTGGTATTTTTAAAACTTTATAATTGTAAATTAGTCAATTGCCTCATATAATCAGTTTTTTCGTCTAGACCTAGCATTGGATTCGTGCATATTATATTCTGGTGACCTTTACATATGATTTGTAAACATTTTAAGAATATAAATGTGTTTTAACTTAGGCTTTCTTAGCGCGAGCGTACCGACCCCTTCTTTGTAGACGCAAAAGGGGACTATTTAAGCATGCAACGGCTCCATGATATTGATGCCTCTACAAGACCGAATCTCTGAACTGGGCTATGCAAGGCAAGTTCGAGCAACAACAAAAATATGAACAGAATGCAACCCCTAAGAAGCGGAATCCGCCCAAAGGACATTCCTTGCCGTAATCTTGAACCTTATTCATCAGTGGATTGGCTACACGTTGCCTCGGTGCAACTAACCGAGAAGCGGCTAGTACGTCGATGGCTTGCGAATAATGGGGATAGTTTGCTATTCTAGTCTGATTATGCCAAAATGGACGAGGTGTGCGAACATGCTGCCCAATGCGAGCTCCTCTTATGGCTGCACTTTTCCTTGGTTTACGTGATAGCTGACTATTCCTTGTAATATGCATCACTATTCCAGTAATATTTTCTCTGGCAGTTATAACAAATAATAGCTTTTTAATTCCGCCAGTAAATGTTTTATTTCAATTTGTAATACCGCATTTTCTCTGCGTGAGCTTACCACCTCCTTGGAGTAAGGGGTGGTGCATTACGCAGAGTGGATTTGAAATCAGGAATTGAAATATGATATTTTCTCGGTCAAATTGGATATCTGCTCCAGAACATCTGTTTTATATTTTGTCTTAGTATAGTTCTGTTTCTTTGCCTGAAATAAATAACGAATGGGAAAGAATTAATGCCAAACATTCATATATGAGGAACCTGCATTTCAGAATTTCGTACATTACTAACAGTTGACAAGACGTGTTTGATTTGTAGCTGGTTTTCTTAAATTCACAAGCAAATTCAACAGTTCTGCCATGTGTTTCAGTATCGAAACTGCGCATTTTTCCGTCCAGTAATTACATGGTTTTATAGTGGAGGATTTTTATGTATCCTTTTTATTTGTGCCACTTCGAACCATCCTTTTAGTTTGGCACTAGGTCAATGTACTTCTTCTGTACTTCTTGGTGAGCAAGTGAGTAAATCAGCATGGTATACAGTAATGCAGTAGAGATGACAGTGTCTGCGCAGTAAATTGCAGGACATCGCGTAGTTCACCTGTAGCGTACGTAAAATGAAGTGGAGAATTAAAAAACTGTCATTTAGCGAAATTATTCCAAATAAATGTGTAAAGTTTTCATTTCTTTGCTTAATGTTGAAACCGTTGCTATTTTTGATTGGTTGAGGGCATCAGACAGAGCCACTATTATATCGAGATGCAGCGTGATAATGCTACTGGAATGGTGGCGAAACGCATTGGCAGCAAATATTTTATCTCAGCTTTGTTGTTCTCAAATGTGCATCAACAAATTTGCTACCTCCGAATTTTGCTTCTTCACAGTAACACTGCAGTGTTGAGTACCCCTTCTGTTGCCGAAAAGTAATTCGAATATTTTGATTGAGACCTCTCATATCGCTCTCCACCATTGCAGTCTCAAGGTCCTTATTACTGAGAGATGTGAACGACTAAGTTATGTCATGCCACGACGAATTGCGATGAAGGGCATTTATCTTAAACGTTAAAAAGACGATAAACGCCTTAAACAGATGTCTGGTGCGACAGTAGCGATCAGGGCTTGATAGGCATGTCTTTAACGCAAATCTGGTTCGAATAGTAACGCTGTTACCAAAAAAACTTAACGGAAGGATTTGAGGATAATTGTCTGTATTCTATCATTTTCAGACATTGCATAGTGTAGTTTTTCGCTGCACTGCCTGCACTCTAAAAAGAAGGTGTCGGCTCATAAATTGGATGACTGAAATATCTGGACAATACTTGATTGCGGTTATTATTAAATGGCCGGGTAAAATAAAGCCTTTTGCGTCATTTGGTTAGTGTTCATATTTTAGCTGCAGCTTTATACTTCAAGTAATCTTCCTGATTGCTGTTTTCTCTGTAATTATTTTTAAATATTATTGACCGTTAATGTTATTGAACGGGCTTCTTTGAAGAAAACCTAATTTAAGGTCCTCCGCAAGTGAAAGTTTGTATTTTAGACAGTTGCCTTATGGGATCTGAGGAATTTAAAACTGAAGTTGCACTCGTTTGAATCTCACACGGACGAGATATTTCAGGTAAGTTTTCCGGAACAGCTCCTTGATAGAGAAATTTCAATTAACTTTGAAGGTTCAGTGGTCTCCGCATAACGAAACAATTCTCGCTTCGAGTGGCACAGATCGACGACTTAACGTCTGGGATTTGAGGTAGATTTTCAATTTACACCGACTTGTATAAGAAAGAGTACTCAAGGCACTGCAAATGAAGATCTGAATGTTGTAATGACTTAGCTATGTGGCTGTTCTCTTTCTATTCCATAAACGTATATGTGATTAAATTCAGTTATAGTCTGTGTCATTGGCATATTCTTCCAATGATAAAGCCATTCTTTCTAGCTTTGAGAAAGTAGCAAATATTTTTGCAGTCTACCTCTAGTTCTTGGCCACTTAAGATTGTCTCACCAGTGCAGATTTAGCCAATATTTTACCTGCGGTCCTTCAATATACAGTTTCGCATGGATCGATGCCTTCAGCTGATTAGAACAGCGCAAACGAAATGGCAAAATTAGTAAGAAAGTAATGAAGTCAAAAATATAAAAGACGGTTTATACCTCTTATTAATTTTTAATTTAGCACCAACTGTTATCATGATCGAATTTTTTCACAGAGAAAAGTGGTTTTTCATTCAACTTGCGGTCGCTGAGTTTGTTTATTCATCATATCCTTTACATAACGTTTGATACATTTTTATCCCCTTATCGTTAAGTTAATGAACGTTTTTATCGAATATTTAATTCCTAAAAATTAGTTTGTTTGACTGTCGATTTTTTAGCAAAATCGGCGAAGATCAAAGCGCCGAAGATGCACAAGATGGTCCACCAGAACTTCTGGTTGCTTAACGATTTTTTCAGTGCATTTTCTCTTGTAATTGCATTTTAGTTTATACATGGTGGTCACACGGCGAAAATTTCTGATTTCTCATGGAATCCGAACGAACCATGGGTGATATGCTCTGTTTCAGAAGACAACATTATGCAAATCTGGCAGATGGTAGGTTTCAATTCTGGGTTAGGTCAGGTCAACCCTTAATTATGCCTATTAATTCTTAAATATTACATTGCTCCACTGGGTTTTGCTTTGGATCCATTCAGATTTTGAATGACTAAACTAATATATAATAACTTTTTTCGTCGGCTATGAAATTCTAAATCTCGCTTTTGCTGAAAACGCGCAGTTTATTTAACAAATAATTCATTTTTAGAGTATCCGAGTTCTTATATTATATGCTGAGTCTTCCGAAGAAGTTTTAAACTGAAGGGGGCACTTATTTAGAGTTAAATTTCGTTTCACACAGTTTAGTAAAATAAATATGCATTCAACTTCAACTTACAGTTAAATTAGTTAAAGACGAATTACGAGTGCGCAACCACTGTGTGATCCGGAATAGCATCCAGAATGGTTCTGCATCTCATGATGATGATCCAGTTTGACTGACGAGCCTCATTGTAATCTGGTACGTGACTTGGATTCTGAGACAACTTCTACAGGTGCACATGGTATAGATGCATAGAGTTGTATGCTGAAAAGCCCTAGGTACAATTATGGAGTAGAAGAAAGGGATTGAAGGTCGTTGTGATGTTTACGGCCTGATTCAGAGATCTATCAGCTTCAAGCTATATCAGGGCATGTTTATTTCACTCCTGTCATCATTCCAGCCTGTGTATACAGTTTGTAAAGCTGGGTAACTCGGAAACAATTTCAGCCCTAAACTCTCGACCGTCTAGAGCATAACTGGGCTGGAATGAATGATTCCGGTGCTTTCGAGCAGACAAGTATTATTCTCATTTGCGCTTTGCGTCGAACCTGGATGCACTTCTTGCACTGACTGGCTATTCAACTTATCTAGCAAAGCAATATGCACAGTAATAAAAAATAAAAATAAAATCGTAACCTGTACTAACAAATTTTGCATGTAAGTTTTGAGGCAGCAATGTTGGGTTGAAGTTTCGGCTGAAAATGGGCGTATTCGGTGAAGATCTTCAGGAGCTTCCGTCAATTTCTGCCCAGTCGATAGAGCAGTCACATGCGCTAGTGCATTTCATGTATACTTCTTTATATATTCACCTGTTGAATGCCTTCTATTGGGCAGTTTTCCATCTTATCATGTTCTTACAATCAATGCCTTTTATGTTATTGCAAATAAAGACCTTTATACCGGTATTGTTTCTTCCCTCTACATCGTGTGATTGTTTTTTCATTCCTTTTCGTTTTTTACAGGCGGGCGCCAAGGATGTCGCAAAATATTCTACAACTAATTAGTTGGTTTAGCGTTTTTGTCCTCGCCTATGTTCTAAGTCTTAGATACAAACCGTGCGGCAAATTTAAATCAGCCTTTCACCTTCACATTCGTAACAACCTCTCGCCAGTTGAAGTCCGAATTGCCGCCGTGGAACGAGTCGAGAGACGCACAGTGTATTGATGTCCATTTATCATGTTTCTTATCAAAACTGTCTCGTCTGTCATCTGACCCACCGACGTCTAACCTCAAGGCAGAGATGACGTTGGCTGCCTTTTTTAGCGCTTTCGTCTCGACATGAAACTGTCATTGAGCATGGTGACTTTCTGCCTCATAATCGAACTTGTCGTGTTCGAATAAGCCGCACTTTGGTGGGTTTACCGCTGCCTGTTCATGACTGCCTTTTCTCGCAACCAACTTTCATTTCTAGAGTCGTTCCCCTTTTCGCAACCCGGAGACGCGCCAGATGGCAAGCATCTAGGCGGGCATACATAACTTTGCCTCACTGGATCAGTTCTGTAATAAAATATTTGTAATTACTAGTAGATATATTTGTTATTTCCGTAACAGTATGCGATACTCCCTACAGCTTTTAAGTGTACTGAAACAAAAGGTGTTTTTAACAAACTATTTAATTTAAAAGTCAACGTTCTGTCATACTACATAAGATTTTTTTGGGTTTGTTATATTCAAAACCGAAAGTATCACTTACAAGCATATGATTTCACAGTTGTTTTTTTTCAGGCTGAACACATTTACAATGAAGAAGATCTCTTGGGCAACGAGGGGGAAAAGAAATGAAATTCAAGGTGAGGTATTTGCGAACCACTGGAATATTTTGTTTATTGCGGAATGGATGTACATTGCAACTGTAGTTTAATGGTTTATAATTAGTTTTGGAATGCTAGTGCATTTAATGTTTTGGGTACCGTGTACATGAAATTTTGCTTTTGCCTGAAAAAGTTGGAATGTGAAAGTTCTGAGCATGAAATATTTTTGGTTTACAGTGTCCGAGAAGAATCGAAAGCACAATATTTCTGAGATCTGATGCTCTCCTGTAACCGTAGTTTTTTCTATAATTGTTACTTCTCGTTGCGTTGTACTTGATAAGCAGATTACTTTAATTGATTGTTTGCATGAGCAGAGTAACGTTCCTTGAATTTGTTTTGGCACAATTGCGGAGCATAAAGTTTATTCAAAATTAAGCACGAAGCGATCAATAAAACTAAAAAGTTTCAATTGTCCAATGCTGTTGTTCTAGAAAATTTGCTTCTGAAAACTTTCTGCCTTGATCTGCTGGTTGCCAACCATTCTGGCCATTCCTGACAGTGGTGCGTAGTCCAGGTTCGTACTTACGGCGCTTCCACTTGACCTTTCTGACGTGAATACGTTCGATCATTCGCCTTCGGTACTTTATACCTGGACCATCAGTTAATATACAATGGCTTCATATATTTAACTTTCGCCAAGGTTAATACTTGGTTCCAGCAGAACTTTCCTGACCGTTGCAACGCTTCGATAACAGGGCGAGAACTTTGCCAATCAAAGTGGAACTATATAAACGCTTTAAAAGCTTGTATTACACATTTATAAAAGGCTCTTTAGTGTGGCTTCATTACAGTAAAGTTCTACGCGATCTCCTTGAAGTATAAGTTCCTCGGAACATGGCTAGTTCTCTCAACTGCTTAGCTTTAAATTTATCGTAGTGATGAAGCGGAGGATTTAATAACTTTCTGATTTTCTCTTCGGCACATCGAATTTTCGTCTCAGCATCTTTCTCTCGGCCATCTGCTTTAATTAGCACACATGGATGACTCTCGAGATAAAACTGACCTTTGTCTCGTCTCCATCGTAATTTATGCCTTGAACATGCACTGACAATAATCTTGCAGTTGGTAGCTCTTTCAATTCGTTTCACAGTACTTCCACGTGGCCCCATTAATCGACCAATAAGATTGTAGCCAGGATATCGTTCTAGTGGTATGTGAAATTTTTTCTCCAGTCGAACATCCTTTGATCGATACAAGGCATGACTTGATGACCGAACATCGTTATGTCGCCGACGATTCGGTCTTTCCTTAATCTTATGTCGCATATGATGATCTTGAAATCGTCTTTTCGTAATTTCATCTTGGCTGCCCTTGGATATGTGATGAGTGTGACGTTTCGCGTCGTGCCGATGATGATCATATCTGTCTGAGCGTCTTCTGCTGTGGCTCAGTGAACTTCGAGAATGCCAATGACCTTGATCTTCTTTCCTTTCGTGCTGCCGATGTACCATTTCTAGCCGTTTCGAGTTCGAATTGTCTCACACCAGCTAGTTTCAACGTCGGAAGATTTCTTTTATTAAAACATTCTAACCCATTACATAATTTAAGAATTAGTTTAATCTCATTGATTGTTTAAACTATCTATTAAACCGCACCTTCATCTTCATCTTCCATCGCCGCTTCGCCTTTCGGGTCGCGGAGGCAGACGCGTCAGACAGTGCTTCCAACGTTCCCGATCCTGTGCCAGAGTCTGA